TCAGCACCACATAGGCAGAAAAAAACCGCAAGTGGCACTGTGGCTCAAGTGTCAGACCATTAGCCTTGAGCTGAAGAGCTCAAGGAGACCACCCAGGCCCAGAGTTCAGGCCTGCAAAAAAAAAAAAAAAACATGATAAATATGACCAAAAGCACACATTTAAAGATGGGAAATAAATCCCTTAGAATAATTTGTTTTTTAAAGATAAATTACAAAATAATACTGATAATTAAATTAACTTTTTTATTGCCTCTATTTAGGTGTACTACAGGGATGTTTCACAACAGGTTTGAGTAAGAAAAAAATAGCCATTTTGTAGTACTGATGACCTGTAATTGGAGCTACTTAGAAAGAGAGGACTGGAAGATTAAGGTTCCAAGAAGGTAAGGCAGAAAAGCCCATGAGACTTTGCCCCATCCAGAAAAAAAGCAAGTATGAAGGAAGTTCAAGTTGTAAAGTACCAGCCACCAAGCAGGAGGCCCTAAACACAATCCTGAGTACTATTAAAAAATAAAAATAAGCGGGTGCGGGTGGCTGAGATCTGAGGATCACAGTTCAAAGCCAGCCCGGGCAGGAAAGTCTGTGAGACTTTTACCTCCAATAAACCACTAGAAAACCAAAAATGGCGCTGTGGCTCAAATGGTAGAGTGTTCGCCTTGAGCTGAAGAGCTGAGGGATAGCGCGGCGCCCAAGCCAAGTTCAAGCCCTACGACTGACCAAAAAAAAAAAAAAAAAAGAATTAAGTCCTAAGTCCTCACCAAGTTTAGACACTTCAATCAACACCTGATCCTGAAATTGTACTTTTTTCCTCCTGCATCTTCCAATCCTGATTTCCAGTCTTATGCCTTTTGTACTTGCCAGACCCCATAATAACAGCTGAGCTATTGTGTATGTACAGACAGATATACTACTGCTTCCATTTGAACTGACAGATATCACACCCTAAATATCAATCAGAAATAGACATAATTAGTTTCTTTGCCACAATACAATATAAACATTTAAAAATAACTATCTCATTATAGACATGAAGAGCTCCCAATGATATATTACAAATAGGTTATAAAATGTGTACATGGTTATTTAAAATGTAAATACATTTTTAATTTAGGAAAAGGAATGCTATGGGTTTGTTCACCAACACTTTAAGTATTTGAGAAGAGAATGGTGGTATAATTTTAAATGATCGTTACTTTATTCCTTATATTTTTGTTTTATTTTCATTTTATAGGATGACTTTACATCAGCAACAGCAGCATTAGAAAAACACAACTCTAACCTTTTTCTCATTTAACAGGAAAAAATATTAGATTGACTTACATATTCAAATGGTACACAGTCTTTTTTTTGGAGGGGGGAGTCCAGTCATGGGGCCTGAACTCTGGGCCTGGGCTCTGTCCCTCAGCTGTTCAGCTCAAGGCTAGCACTCTACCACTTGAGCCACAGTGCCACTTCCAGCTTTTTTTTTCTGCTTATATGGTGCTGAGGAATAGAACCCAGGGCCTCAAGCATGCAAGGCAAGCGATCTACCACTGAGCCACCTTCCCAGCCCTACACAGAGTCTTAACAAAGAAACAGAAGCTATCTCAGTAAAGTAGACTCTCCAGGCAAAGGGCAATATGTGCCAAGGATGGGCAATATGTGCCAAGGATGGGCACAACAAATAGTTTAGAAAAGCTAGAGTTCAAGGAATGACCAGAAATAAGGCTAGAGTTAGTCATGGAAGATCTTATATGCCATGCTGCTCTACTAATGCGGTTCAAAGCCAGCCCAGGTGGGAAAGTCCTTGAGACGCTCCAATTTACCACCATAAAGGCAGAAGTGGATATGTAGTTTAAGTGGTAGAGCTCCAGCCTTGAGCAAAAAAAGCTAAGAGACAACATCCCAAGTTCAAGCCCCAGTACTGGCATAAATAAATAATAAGATAAAAATAAAAGCAGGGGCTGGGAAGGTGGCTCCGTGGTAGAGTGCTTGCCTTACATGCATAAGGCCCTGGGTTCAATTCCTCAGCAACACATAAGCCAAAAAAGTCAGAAGTGGCATTATGGCTCAGTGTTAGAGCACTAGCCTTGAGCTGAAGAGCTGAGGGACAGTGCCCAGGCCCAGAGTTCAGGCCCCAGGACCAGCAAAAATAAAAAATAAAAGCAAAATTAAGGCATTAATCACTCATGCCTATAATCCTAGCTACTCAGGAGGCTAAGATAGAGGATCTTAATATTACCAGCAAAAGAATATTATGAATAGCCAGGCACTGTGAGCTCACAACTGTAATCCTAACTACTCACGAGGTTGTTATCAGGATCACAGTTTGAAACCAGCCTAGGCAGAGCATTCCATGAGACTCTTATCTCCAATTAAGCAGCAAAAAATATGGAAGTGGACCTATGGCTCAAGTGATTGGTAGAGTGTTAGTCTTGAGTAAAAAAGCTCAGGACAATGCCCAGGCCTGAGTTCAAGCCCCAGGACCAGCACCAAAAAAAAAAAAAAAAAGAGAGAGAGATGGAAGTAGAGCTGTGGCTTAAGTGGTAAAGCACTAGCCTTGAGCACCCAGGTCCTGAATTCAAACCCAGGACTGGCACAAATAATAATAGTAATAATCTTTTAAATTTAAAGAATTACAATCATTTAAACTACAAATGAAAATATGCCCAACTACAGTAATTTAAATAATTCAGAACTGTATTTCCTCCATTCACCACCAACACTCTTATCCAGTGTGTGTGTGTGTGTGTGTGTGTGTGTGTGTGTGTGTGTGTGTGTGTGTGTGTGTGTGTGTGTGTCCATCCTAGGGCTTGAACTCAGGGCCTGAGCACTGTCCCTGAGCTCCTTTGCTCAAGGCTAGCAGCACTCTACCACTTGAGCCACAGCTCCACTTCCAGCTTTTTGGTGGTTAAATGGAAATAGGAGTCTTACAGACTTTCCTGCCCAGGCTGGCTTCAAATGATCCTCGGATCTCAGCCTCCTGAACAGCTAGGATTATAGGCATGAGCCACAAGTGCTTGACCCTCCAGCCTAAGTTTTTACAGGTTAATTTCAAGATGGAGTCTCACAAACCTTTCTGTCCAGGCTAACTTTGAACTAACTTTGAATCTTAGCCTCCTGAATAGGTAGGATTACAAAGGTAAACCACTGACATCTGGTTTACTAATACATTTATAATTTTAACTTTTGTAACTCACAAGTGTTTTCGTCTATATATACATTATGGAAAGATTAAATCAAACTACATCTCTATCACTTTTCTAACTTACCATCTTTTGTAATGAGAACATTAAAAATCTAATCTTTCAGCAATTTTGAAATGCATATTATTAACTGTGGTCACCATGAAGGACACTAAAGTTTGCTTTTCTGGTCTAAACCAGAGTCTGAGCCCTTGATCATCATCTCTTCTTTCCCCAGCCTCTGGCAACCACCTTCTTACTCTCTTTTTTTTTTTTTTTTTTTGGGGGGGAGTCCGGTCGTGGGGCCTGAACTCTGGGCCTGGGCACTGTCCCTCAGCTCTTTTAGTTCAAGGCTAGCGCTCTACCACTTGAGCCACAGCGCCACTTCCGGATTTTTTCTTTTTGCTTATGTGGTGCTGGGGAATCGAACCCAGGGCCTCAAGCATGCAAGGCAAGCGATCTACCACTGAGCCACCTTCCCAGCCCTACACAGAGTCTTAACAAAGAAACAGAAGCTATCT